GTCCACTTTGGTGGGGAGGGGGACAAGTTCGGGAGAGGAACCCTGTCCGTGCTTACTGCTTATGGGTGTAGATCTGAGAACCGCGTTGTGACTGGACTGGCTTCCTTTGGTGAGCGAAAACATACAGTCAGCCTAAAGGCCCCTCCCCCACTCTGCTTCCTTCCTGGGCAGCTGGACACCCAAGGAAGGTGAGCCCCCTCCCAGGGGGTGGCTTCCGGGCATGAAGGGGCCCTGAGGATCCCAAGGACAGGATAACCAGGCAACTCGAACCCTCATCCTAGTGGCTGCACCCACAGGGGACTTGGAGCTAGAAAAGGAAGGGTCTGGCATTGGATGGGTACTTGAGTCACATGCCCAGATTGATCCAAATCCCTCAGTGAGATTTGAACCCATTTCTGTCTCAGAAGTAGCCTTCATGACACAGTGGGTTATGCACAGTGGGCTGCTAACCACAAGGCCTGCAGTTCAAACCTATCTACTGCTTTGCAGGAGAAAGATGAGGCTGGCTGCTTCAGTAAAGATTCATGGTCTCAGAAACCCTTAAGAGTTCTACTTAGCCCTATCAGACCACTATAAGTCAGAATTGAGAAGGCGGCAGAGCCAGACCCTAAACTAGACAACTCGTATGGATGCACCACTGCGTGGAGACACATGCAAACGAGTGAACTAAAGGTGCCTCTGTAGTCAAGGTGAGAGGAACCTTGGTGGTATAGTGGGTGATGCTCTGGACTGCTACCCGGAAGGTCAGCAGTTCAAGCCCAGCAACCACTCTACGGGAGAGGCTTGCCTTGGACAGCCTTGGAAACCCACGAGGGCAGTCTTCCTCTGTCCCGTAAGGTCGCTATGAGTTGGAATCAACTTCACAGCAGTGCGTTGAGACAAGATAGTAGCCCAGAGATCCCCTAGAAGAGGCTGTGTGCAGAATGGTGAGGACTCCGGGTCAGCCAGCTAGAAAGGGGACCCGCCAGCCCACAAAGTGGGAGTCTGTCCTCCCCCTGCCCAAAGCTTTGAGCCTGACATGGGGAAAGAGCTTGGTCCCTTGGTGTGAAAGGGATGAGACTCTAGACTTGGCGTCAGGCAACTTCAGTCTAGCAATAGGTATTGGTCTTTGGCCACGATTCTGGCCCTGCATGTACGTCAGTTTCTGCATCTCTCTAGAGTGCAGAATGATGATGATTTTGACTTTGGAGGTGAGTTGGAGGCTCAGTCGGTTGCTCCATTTCTCCAGCACACTTACTAGTGTCTGAAGGGGGTGTGTGATCTTGAATGTGGTAGAGGAACATGATCGCTCCAGCCCAGCACGTTGACCGGAGATTTGTTTTGTTTTGCTCATTTGCCCTTGCGTTGTATGGTGTTTTGACTTTACTGTTACGTTTTGTGCTTTTTCCAGCAACATTTAGGGCCTGGGGTGGGGTGGGGAGAGGGACTTTTCCTCTGAAGCTCTAAGTTCTGAAGTTCAAGAGAGATGTCTCCTTAAAGGCGGGGATCATGCCCATTCCCATTCCCAGACCTTGTTCCTACCCAGACAACCCATGTGCGGGTCTGTGCTGAATGGGCCGCCTGCTCCATTTTTCAGCCTTCATGACTCAGAAACGTGAGGGTCCGGGGTTAAGGCAGCATGTCCCTGAGCATTGGAGCAGGACTTCTGGGTGGAGAATTCCTGGGAACCTTCCCTGGCTCCCTGGAAGTGGGCAGAGGCCCTGGCAGTCTTTGAAAAGAGACCACTCAACAGGCAGCCCCAACCCCAGGCAGAGCCACAGGCACTGCTGCATGGGAGCAGCCTCATCCCCATACTGGGGGAGGGCACAGCTCCAGCAGTCAGGAGGGCTTCCTGGAAGAGGTAGCAGAGAACATTTCTGAGCCATGAAAGGTGGCATGGTCACCCCTGCTGACAGGAGAGCATGCCCAAAGGGTGTCAAGTACTTCAAGCTGGCCAGAGGGCCCTCTGCTTGGAAGTCGGAGCTTTGGAAACAATATGGAGAGGCTGCGGCTCGTGAAGTCCCCATGGGGCGGGAGCAAGGAGTGCTATTGAAGGCTCAGAGTAAGGAGCTTGAACTTGGTTATCCCAGCCCCCCACCCCCAGGAGCATTGCTGACTGTCATGTGATGTCATGTTATTAGTTCTTTGTGATCCAAAGCTCACTCTCTGGGGCTGTTAGGAGGGGACAGACTCCCAGAGAGGGGGATGGGGTGCAGGTGACAGGTGCTGAGCCTGGCAGAAGCAGAGGGGTGGAGAGGGGTGGGGCAGCCAAGGGAGGCTAGTCCGAGCTGGGCACTCCCTAGTGGGAGATCAGCAATCTTTTCAGGCTGACAGCCCCTGGTCTCAAGTGCCACCTCCTCCTAGTCTGGGAAGCAGCACACAGGGGCCCTTCATGCCTTTGTCTTGAGGGCTGTGCTGAGAGCACTCGGCTCTGAGTCCCCAGAGACTTGCCGCCTGTGCTGTAGTGGCCATGGTGACCAAGGCATACCTAGGGTGTCTGGAACCACGCTCCCCTCAGCTGCCACTGTCTGGCCAATCTGTAAACAAGACGCAGAATTTCTCTGTTCCCACCTGTGTTGTGCTCTGGTCTGACTCCTGCCACCTCCCAGAAGCCCCTGAGCCTATTGTCTACCCAGCTCTCATTCCTAAGAGGCAGCTCGAGGCCCCCCTCCCCCTCACTACCCCTTCTCTCAAGTGACTTTTAGGCCCCTCGGGGAGGCCACTGAGCAGAGAGCAGTGGGCACCCACCCTTGTCCAGGCTGAAGTGCCTCACTCAGCCTTGGTCCCTCATCGCCTCAGCCAGCAGGGGGTCTACCAGCTTCCCCATGAAGCACTTTCAAAGGCTCCAGGATGGAGGTGCCACAGGGATGCAAGCCTGGGAGGAAATTACCCAGGCTTCCAGAGGAGGGCAGGCCCCGAGGCCACCACCTGCCTGCCTCCCACCACATCCGCTCTTCCGATCCCCCCAACCCCATCGTGATGTCTGGAAGGTTTGGCTCCAGGCAGGCCCTGTGCAGCAGCGTCCCAGGGAGCTCAGGCCTGGCAGGCTTTCAGAAAGGTGCTGACAGAGGCATGCTAAACTCCTTTCAAGAATAAATCTCAGTGCCTGTGAAGCCAGGCTGGACAGGAGAGAGAAGTGCGGAGGCAGGGGGCCTGTGGTGAAACCAAGTGGCTCTGGGGTGAGTGCAGGCCCAGCCCCCAGTGTCCCCACTGCCCCCAGCTCTTCACTGGGGACACGAAGGGCCTCTGCCTGGGTGGGCTGTGTTGAGTCCGTGAGGTGTATGTAACCCAGATTCATCCATGGTGGCGGCGAAAAATGAAGCCTGTGCTAGCCGCAGGGTTCCTGTGGGGGTCGGCTTCCGGCAGCAAGGGCATACTGGGCCCACCTCGGACCTGGGGCCCAAGTGGGTGGGGGGCTCCTTGTGACTGATCTCACCAGCGGCATAGCCGGCTTTGGCCTGTCCTCCAGCATCCGTTTGTCTCATTTCTGTTCCGAGCCAGCGCCTGCCACAACCTGTAGTAGCAGGGGGTTCGCCCATTTAGCCTTTGATTTGAGTCCTGCAGCCCAGGCTGATTTACCCCATTGATCAGGCCACCAAAAGGAGGCCCATAGTACCTCTGTTCCCATGGAGGCTCTGGCCAGCCGGATAGTGGCTGATGTCCCCAGCCCAGCGTTGGCTGGCTCTGCTACGTGATACCCCTTGTGGCTGGTGTGTGAGCTGTGGTACAGATGAGTTGGCCCATGGTAACCAAGCCCACCCAGGTCACCTTTGGGTTCCGAGGCTCAACAGCCTGGGCTGTGGCTCCCCTGGTAGATATGATGACGTGGAGATACACCAGGTGTGGCTCGCTAACCTGGAGGGTGGGGAGGGGAGAGAGGGGAGGCAATTATGATCGGTGTGAATGTGACATTGGTGGTGGCATGTAGGGACAGCCAGGTTCCTGGGGCTTTGGGCATGCAGACCCCCACTCCAACCCCCAGCCCATGGGGTTGTCCTGCTAGAGAGATGCATAACACTGGCCTAAAAGGGGCAATCTCCATGTCCACTGTCCCCCTCCACAGACCAGGGCCGGCACTTCAGGGTAGGACCTGGGAATAAGCCCTTGGGGACCTGGCTGTAACCGACGGAAGATTCATGGATTAGCCTTGACACCCCTCCATCCCACCCCCAATGTTTGCATCATGTTTCCAACCCCATGTATAAAATGTCTGTGGACATCACCCGCCCCCGGCCTACCAACCCGAAGCCATTGATCCACTTCCCACCTCTGGGCTCCGGCACACCGGAAGTGGTCTTTGGACGCCCCCCTCCCTGCGCTCTGATTTTCATCAGGCTCTTCACGGCTAGAATCACAGTCTCCTCACCAGCACCCCTTTGTGACGAGGCCTGGACATCCCTCTTGAAAGCCCGGCGGAGAAGGACAGCTTCAGCAGCCCGGGCTCTCTCGTTAGCGTCCACGTGACCGAGAGCCTCAGTCTTCTCTGCTAAGTTGCATCTCCAGACAGTGGGGGAGGGGTACCCGTGGTCCAGCATTGCCGCACCTGTGCCACCTTCCCAGGTGAACTCTGTCAGCTCGGGAGGAAGGACATCGAGGCTCCCCTACGTTCAGACCCCCTAGGAGCCAGTTTCCATTCTTAGGATGTGCCCACCGATGTGGCCCGTCTTCTCATTCAATTTTTGAACCTGGGGACAGAAATCACTGGGTTCGACACTGCGCCCAGCCCCTATCAAAGACCTGAATTTCAAAAGTGAATAGTATTTGGCCTCCTGGCTGAGTCCCTCCCAGGCCGGCAGGGAGGATGGACAAGTCAGGACCATTATCGTTGTCCCAGAGATAGAGTGTCTTGGTAGACATCCGCGTGGGCTGTGGGGAAGCCCCAAACCCAAACTCAGCCCACTGCTGTCGAGCTCATTCTGCCTCACTGCAGCCCACAGGCCTGAGAGGAGCTGTGTGAAAGGGCTTTGGAAGCGGTAGGCATTCATGGAAGCGGCCAGCCTTGTCTGTTCTCTCGGGAAGTGGCTGGTGGGTCTGTACAGCCGAACTTTCAGTAAGCAGTCCTGGGCTACCAGGGAAGACAGGGATCTGAACCAGTGTGTGGGGTGGGGTGTGTGTGTGTGTGTGTGTTGGTAGGTGGGCAAGCTTCCTGGAGGAGGTGACAC